AGGCAACTACCGCTCCCGCCAGCCTGGTTGTCTTTTTCTAGCTATCAAGAGCATCTCCACACCACCTCCTTAGGCCCTGGCTTTCCACTGGCTCATTAGAGCACACAGTTCAGCTAACCGCTATGCACTTAGAAAGTGGCCAGAGTGTCAAAGCCTTCATGTTCATTTCTGTGAAACAGGAATGATGCTATCTAAGAGACAGGAGAGCATTCTCCTGAGAGCTTGGTGACAGGCTGCACTCAGTAACTGCTGATCCTGCTGACTGTGCTACTTCCACAGGTCATCCTGGAAGCCTGGGTGAAGGGTGTGAACCCCAAAGGCAACTCCACCAACCCCAGCAACTGGGACTTCGGGAGTAGTTTCTTCTTTGCAGGCACAGTGGTCACCACCATAGGTAAAGGGGAGAGGAGCGAGGTCTCCCTAGGGCCTGCTCAGCTTGGGATCCATTCTAAATGCCATCACTGGGACGAGGATGTGGCTTATCCGGGAGGTGGCACACAGGGCACATATGGGGAAGTGGGTAGTGGAAAACCATGAAAAAGGAAGGCAGCCAGGCTGGCTGCAGCTGTAGTTGCCTGGACTCATTTCCCTGGGTCACGCTGAGGTTAGAGCCACTTCTCAGCTCACCTGCATAAAGGCAGGAATGAGAGCCCTCCTATCGCCTTCACCTGACCAGCTGATAGCTGGGCCTGCTGTGTTAACATTTCATACCTGGCCACAGGAGGAGCTCACACCTGGGATTAGGGTTCTCTCAGGGGGGAGAGATAGAGGCAGGAGGGTGTTTGTGCACAGGAACTGTTCCTCAAAGCAGCAGTTGATAGCTCAGTGTCCTGAAAAGAGGGGCTACCAACAGAAAGCCCACTCTACTCACTCCTGGTGAACCCCCGGCCTCTCTTACACAGACCTCTCTTCCATTCAGTTAAGTCCAAGTCTAATCCCACCATCTTCCTTGGCAAGCCAGGCAGAGTGACAGAGGAAGGGTGGATACAGACTTGGATCTGTCCCAGGCTTGGCTTTCTGAGCTTCCAATCCACCAAAGAGGGATTAAATTGTTATAATTACACAAGGCAAAGTGGATAATTAGATAGAAACGGCATGAAGCATCTCAGGGAATCATGCCTGTCAGGGAGGCAGAGAGTGGCAGTCAGGAGGGCTTCATCACTGGAGATGAGCTTTCTGTAAGTAGAGACTCTTCTATCAGAGAATAGGGTGAGTGTCCATGGAAACAGGGAACTCTCCTTTTCCCACAGAGGTGATGGAGACCAACCTCTGCTAGAACCAGTGGTTGGGGATGGGAGCCAGGTCTGGACTCTCTCTTCCCTGGATCTGCACATTTCTTTGCCCTGTAGGTTATGGAAACCTGGCACCCAGCACGGAGGCAGGGCAGGTCTTCTGTGTCTTCTATGCTCTGATGGGCATCCCACTCAATGTGGTATTCCTCAACCATCTGGGGACAGGGCTGCGTGCCCACCTGACCACATTGGACAGGTGGGAGGACCACCCCAGGCATTCCCAGGTAAGGCAGCATCCTCCCTCCCCTCCAGATCCTCAGAGTCCTCCTCCCCTCCAGGCCCTTGGGGACAGATGGTTGAGAACTGGGAACTGGGCTTGGGTATACAGATACCTGACAGGTTCAGTATGGGAAGAGATAAGTAGAAGGATCATACAGACTGGGCGGGGCATGGTCTCAAAGGGCTCTATAGCATCTTGACTATGGAGTTTACCTGTAAAGGGCTGAGGGCCAGGCACTGGGTATGACTGAGAGGATTGCCCGTGTGCTAGACAGCTCTGTGCTGCATCCTTCTTTGATTGGAGAATCTGAACATTTCGTATCTCTCCATGGTCATCACGGGTAGTCAGCATTCTTTCATGTGGTCCAAAACAGTCTCCAGGGTACCCAGCATGCCCCACAGAGGGATCTGGAACAGTTTGGCGGGTGACATTAGTCTAATCCCAGGCCTGAGTAGACCCCAGGGAGCCTTCCCAAGTGTGACTCTCAAGTTTAAAAGGGTCTTTGACTCCTCCCTTGACCCGCTAACACATTCCCCTGTCCAGGAAGGCTTGGCACAGACAAGTCCCACGCCCATGGGTGCAGCTCCGACCAAAAGTCTGCAGCAGGGATGGGGTGGGGGTGGAGCTTAGACATTGCCCTGCCCACACCCAACTTTTCCCAGACCTCCCTCATATACTTCCAGAACCTTCTAAGTGGTCTCAAGGGCAGATTCTTCCCCTCCCAGCTCCTGCAGGTCCTGGGCCTGGCTCTGTTCCTGACCTTGGGGACCCTGGTCATTCTCATCTTTCCACCCATGTTCTTCAGCCACGTGGAGGGCTGGAGCTTCCGTGAGGGCTTCTACTTCGCCTTCATCACCCTCAGCACCATTGGCTTCGGGGACTATGTTGTCGGTGAGAATGGGATAATCAGGTTATCTTGGCGGGCACCCACTAGGATGATGAACATGGAGGTACCAGCTGTGTGAGGTTGGTTACTTCTGCAGGCGCTGTGAACTCTTGGTGGCCTCCTCAGAAGTCTCTGGTATAGTAGCCATCACTGCTTCCTCCGTTAGTAGTCCTTGGTATGAGGACCAGGGAGAGCGCATTCCTATGGAAGCTGGGGGTGGCAGTGCCCTCAAACACAAGCCATCACTTTCCCCGGCAGGCACAGACCCCAGCAAGCATTACATTGCTGTGTATCGGAGCTTGGCAGCGATATGGATCCTCCTAGGACTAGCGTGGCTGGCGGTGGTCCTCAGCCTGGGATCCCTGCTCCTGCACAGGTGCTCCCGGCTCTGGCAGCTCATCAGAGGCCTGGACCTTAAGGATGGAGCAGCTCCTGACTCTGAGCCCAGATCACAGAAAATCCCCATCTCTGCATGAGACCCAAGTGTCCTGACCTCCCCAAACCCATGACATCCCCTGCCCTTCCCCCTTTCTTTTCAACCCACACATTACCCAGCAATTCTCCAGAGAAAGGAGACAGGTGTACCTACAAAGTAACTGAGGGGAGATGAGGAGACAAAAATCAAAGATCTGCATGGCTGGAGATGTGAAGGTTGCCCTTGGAGCTTCCCCCTGTCTCCCAAAAAGAATCTGGAGAAGTGAAACCTGACATGGATCATGGTGGCCAAGTCACTACTGCCGTCTTAACATAGTCACGGGAGCCCTGCAAGCAAAGGTGGACTTGATTTTTATATTACTTACTACGTACACGATAGGCTCTTAACAGGCTCCTACTAGGTAGCAGGCAGTGTGCCTGGCTCTAGGGCTTTGACAGTGTTGCTTTCTGCCTTCGCCTGTTGTCAGTCTTGAAGGAGCCCCAAAGCAGCATCCTCATCCTTGATGGGAATGTACCTAGGGAGAAGAAAGTTCAGGACAGTGGCTGGGGGAGGGGAGATGGATACACATCTGGGGACGCCTTTGGTGCATACAGAAAGCCGTCCTCAGGAGTCTCACAGCTAAGGAACAAGAAGGCTGCTGGTCAGATTTCTCCAGCTCTCCTTGCCCACAAGTGGAGAGGAATCCTAGAACAACACGGGGGTTGGGGGGGACCCCTTCCAGGGGTCCCACCACTCTCCTGAACATGACCTCCCCTGACCCTCAGAGCACATTTAGACCTCTTTACTGCCCCCCCCCTCAGCAGCTGGGAGATGGGCAGCAGATCCCAAGAGCTTCATAGCCTGTGAGCTCTCTGGTGGTGTGGACTCCCATGGGAACACTCTTCATGAGAGCCTGGTCCTTCTGCCAGATTGTGACACTGTGGGCCAGAAGGGAGGAGAGGTTTGGCCCAGACTCACAGGATTAGGAACTGATTTTTGTTTGGACTTCCTTCACCTCTCCAGTGGCAGGGGTGTTCCCAAGTTCTGTGTCCTCTTTATAGCATTAAGGTGGGGTGGGACTGTGAACCCCAGAGGTTGAGGGGAGTCTCAGGCAAGGACCCACATTGACAGAGGGTTCCCAGCACCCAAGTCTTACTGCCACCCAGGAAAGGGTTGAAATCTGACATCTCCAACACTTGTACACATGCTGGACCCTACTTCTGTTCTGGGTGGATGGAGATGCAGGGACTTCCTTCCAAAGCAGCAAGGAAAGTTCGATCAGGTTCTCTAGACCTGCCAACCTCCCAACCCCGGGCAGCACAGACAAACCATACCCAACTGGCCCCTATTTTATTTCTTTTAGTACACTAGCTGTAGGGAGATCTAGGGTGATACAAGCAAGCACTTGGAGGAAGCCCCTGGCCCCTCAGCTTAGGTAGCAGTCCTGTGATAATAAACTTGGCTGCTGTTTCTTCTCTGCAGTGGATTGCAGGAGTCTCCTATTGCATAGAAGCGCCGGGGTGGCGGGGGAGATCGTGGAGAAGGAGGTCTCTGGGCCCTTCTCTCTCATGGCTGTGGCTGCCACTCAGCAGCCCCCTCCTTTCCTCTGATGTGGGGGTGGGCACGGCACAGTCTTCTAGGAGCATCTTTTATTTTTTGTTGTCCCAGAGATTGGATCCTTGAGGGTAGGGGGCAGGGCCATCTCATCCTCCAGTACTCCTGAACAGGGAAATGAAAAGGCGTTTTGCTTAGAGAAGGGCCTCTCTCCTGGCCCTTTCTGCCCAGCCTGGCTCCTGTGCACCACAGTTCTCCAGAGCTCTGGCCTCTCTAGTTAGGTTAGCGCAGGAAGGCTCCTGCTATTCCGTCACCTGTGGACCTTGATCTCCCACGGCGCCTTGGTGGGCTAGGGACTGCGACATGTGGGGTACTGGGCTCCTGCTGCTCTCCGTCCTGGCTTACTTGGTGCTGGGCACTGGAGTGTTCTGGGCGCTGGAGGGTCGCGTGTCCGGGGACCTCAGGAGCAGCTTCCAGCGCGACAAGTGGGAGCTGCTACAGGACTACATGTGTCTGGATGGCCCTGCGCTAGACCTGCTGATCTGAGTTAGGGGCCAGCCTGGGGAAAAAGTGGATTGGGCAGGGGCTCACAGGATGCATGGTAGGGATAACAGATGCTCTGGCCCGGGATCCTGGGAGCTGTTATCCCATGGAGAGGTGGAGGGCACAGGTCTAGGAACAGCAGGTCTGTGCGGTTAGGGGATGGGTGACCATGGGTTGGGCTGGGCAGCAATGGAAAAGACCTCTATCCTTAAGGAAATGGGAGGGCATGGCTAGCCTTGTAAGAACACAGCCATCCTAAATTTGGAAATAAAGAATACAGAAAGATGTGCTTCCCTGGGTCACAAGCTACAGGGCAGTCGTGATAGGGTCAAGAGAGCATTTGATCTGGTGGCAGCCCTGTGTAGGACAGCCCTGTGGGATCAAGGGCAAAGGATGAAAAGCTAGCCTTTTCCAAAGGGCGCACGGGGTGGGGGTGGGGCAAATAGGAACCTTTGGGGCTAGGCTTGACTCTAAGGAGGGGCAGGACCCAAGGCCAGAACAAAACCCATGGCACTTGGGTAAGGGCTCATCCAACAGGGGTGAGTAAAATAGAGTCAAAGTGTGCTTGCCCCGGATGGGGACAAAGGAGAGAGGAGCTGCGAGGGAGGGGACCTAGGCTGGATGGGAGGACCCAGTTTTCCTAGAGGACATCCTGCCCCACCTGCAGAACCGGGATAAAATGAGTAGGCAGAAGGTGCATAGATCACTGAGCCAGAGGCTCCTCAGCTGATGGGGATGCTGAAGGGTAGGGAGGCAGACGGTGGCTCATTTTGTCAGGGTTTCCCATGGAGGTCTCTTCCATTCTGGCCTGCAAGGAACATGGGGCCAGCCAGCTGAGCAAGTCAGTGTTTGCATTAATATCCACACAGAGCACAGGAACAGAGCTTAGACCCACATGCCTGGGTGAAGAATCTTCATGCTCCTGTGCCCCATCTCTCTAGGCTGAAGCCAGATACCAGAATGGAAGAGGAAATTGTTGGGGGTGGGACAGGAGGTCAGCTCAGTGGAGACAGACTTCTGAACTCAAGGACAGACCAACTGGGCAGGATCCGGAGCTAGACAGGGCAGGGGCTGTGTCTACTCACAACCAACACAATCAGTACACACTTCTGTGGCAGCCCTTCCCTTGCTCAGTCCCCAATTTCCTTCTCAGGAGTCTCACTAGCAGAGATCATCCCCATTTGGAGATGAGCCAAGGCTCAGAGCGAGTTAGTGTGAATGCAATCCTGCACAGCCAAGAGCTGAGGCCATTGACCGCCCAGAGGCTGCTTCTGTGCACACCTATGCATGTGGTTGTTTCCCAGAATTCCCAGGTATGCTCCACAGATTTAGCCTTCACAAGAAGGATGAGCCATCGTTAATATTAATATTTTACAGATAAGGAAGCCTTGATGGCCTGTGTCAGAGTTAATTCCATCCTCTGTCCCACTGAAGGCTAAGGTCCTGTCTCTGTCTTCTTCAGTGACATCCAGCCTATTGCTTCCTGTAAGACTGGGAATGAACTGGGCAGCAAATGAGTAGAGATAGCCCAGAACCCATCCTGACCCAGATCTAGGATGGAATGGAAGGGGCTATCCTCATGATCCCTGTTTCTGGGGAGCCCTAGGTTGGCAGGATGGGTAGAAACTCCTTGCCAAGCTTGGAGTCAAGAATGAGGTACTATGTGTTTTCCTGGGGGCACATGAATACCAGTTCCTTACCCAGTTAGGGCACCAATGAATTACCAAAGGAACAATCTAACCTAGGTCTATCTGGATGAGCCAGTGAGTTTGTTGGAGTTACTAACAGAAGCATGGGGGAGCCCATCCCAGCAGGGGTAATAACGCACAGAAGCTGAATCCATGGAGCACACTACACAACTTGCAGGCAACCACACTGAAGAGTCCCTTCTCCTCAGCAAATTGTTACTGTGCATATAACACGGAGGGGGGCCATTATGAATCCTGCAACCTTCTGAGCCTTAGAGCCTTGTAAGTGAATGAAGATGAGTGCGTGCGGCTCCTGGATATGATTGAGGGGAGGTTTATTGTAAGTATAATGCAGAGAGTAGACAGAGGGAGGCATCCGGAAGAGTCCAGACTGAACTGGACAATGAGGGGACCATGGGGGGGGGGGGAGACGAGAGGGGAATAGGAACCAAGAGCAGTAGTCAAGAGACTAAGAGGCTAATAGCTAAAATGGCTGAGTTATACAGGGAAGAGAAGCTGGAGGAAGGGCCCGAGAGGGTTTAAGGTAGGGGACAGAGTATGCCAGCCAGAACATCTTCATAACAGGGGCTGGTGATACTGAGAGGCTGGCAGACAGTGTCCACTTTGATGTATTGATAAGCACCTCAATCGGCCATTTGTCCTGAGTTTGAGACCTCACAGAAAGTCCTTTGAGCGTCTCTTCCCCACTCCAAAAGAAGCGTCTCACTTTGTAGAAACTGTTTAATATAAATAGTCTGCCAGAGTACGAGTGTAGGCATGAGTGTAGATGTGGGCACGTGGGTGTCTTGGGAGACAAGAGCCAATCCCCCACCCCCAAGATCCTGTTGGTCACTTCAGCTTCTTCTCCGGGCATCATCGGAGTAAACAGATGGGACCAGCCTCCTAGGAAATACCACCAGCTTGGGGAGCTGGGATTTTGTGGACTCTTTCTTCTTTTTCGTGTCCACCATCACCATTATCAGTAATGGCTGGGCAGGGCCAGTCTGGTGGGGCTGGGGAAGTGGCTTCTCCCTGAGAGTCAATGGAGCCTCCCTGAGAGGCAGTGGTGCTGATGGCAGTTGAGGGATCTGATCCAGGGTCTCACACCTATAATGCAGTCAGTTCTACGGCACGATCTCCACCCTCCTCTAAGCACCACCCTGCCTCAGGACCCAGAGACTTGGTTTCTGCATTTCTCCAGGCACCATGGGAACTGCGCACACTTTCAAGTTTGGGAGCTGCTTCCCTATGTGACTTTAGTCATTCCACCCAGCACCTCCTACAGCCCCTCCTAGTCCACCATCACCTGTCCTCCCTGTCAGCGTTCTCCAGGCTCATTTCCTGTCCAGAGCCAAGCTGAGGGAAGCTCATCAGAAAAGGGTCCCTGGGAACTATTGTATGGAAACAATGTGGAACGGAAGGCACTGGGTTCCTGCAGTTCTGAATCTCACGAAATAATGCCTGTCAGGGCTCTAACGCCCTTTCTCTCGGAATCCCCTGCATGACCCAAGACATACCACCAGGTGGCAGGCTCACACCAACTATGATTCAATTTCTGCTTGCAGCTTCCAGCTTCTCTGACAAGCGCATCCTTACCTTGTCCAACCAAGAGTGAGTAGGTGGATTGCACTGCACAGAGTCCTCTGTGTGGTTTTAATTTGGACACTACTAGGATGGAGCTCTGACTACTCCAGGGAGCATGGGCAATCTTTGAGACAAGTATGTGTCTCCATGGACCTCCCCAGAGACCCTGGAAGAACCATTCTAGTGTTTCTACATCTCTATTTAAATATTTATTTTATTTATTTAACGTGTATATGTGTGTGTGTCCAGTTTTGTTTATTTTTCCCCAGTAGCCATCCACCTTGTTTTGTTGAGACAAGGTCTCTCACTGTGACCCAGGACTCAACCAAACTGGCTGAACTAACTAGCTGGAGAAGCCCCCAAGGATTTTCCTATCTCTTCCCCCTCCACCCCAGTACTGAGATTACAGACACACAGCACTACACTCTGCTTTTTATGTGAACGTTGCCTGGGGTCAGTACACGAGTCATCTTGCTTGTGAAGGGGGCACTTTCCTGCCTGGGCTTATTCCTTTATTTTTGTTTTTGTTTGAGACAGAGTATTATGTAGCTCTGATTGTTCTGGAACTTATTATGTAGACCATGCTGGCTTTGAACTCACAGAGATCTGCCTGCATCTGCCTCCTGGGCACTGGGATTAAAGACATGTGCCAGTATGCCAGGCTTAGAGACCTTGTTTTAAGGCAAACAAAATAAAACAAAAAGTGAGAGGAAATGATGGGAGCTCCAGAGAAAGAGGCCCTGAAGAGGTTCTCGGGACAGATGCCAGTGTGGGGGAGCTGTCCATCACCCGTCGGTCCATACACGCAGCCCTTGCACACCTTGCCTGCTCAGGGATTCACATTCCTGTCGACAGCATGTCCCCCCTGTGGCTTCCTTACAGCTGTGCCAAGTGAATGTTTGCACCCCATTTTAAGTCCAAGGAAACAGGCTCCAAAATATCAAAGCCCCACAGCCATGCAGGGGACAGGGCACAAGAAGGGCAGCTGGGAGTGAAGAGAGCTCGGAGTCATTACTCAGCTGCCCACTTCACCACTGTGGGAGTGGAATCCGGGGAGTTGGGTGGCATGGGCTGGGAAAGGGCTTGAGCCAGGGGAAGAATCCCCCTCAATACTCTCCCCCCACCCCACCCCTGCAAGGCTACCCATCTCTCCTGTGTATTTTTTGCTCTCCTTGGAATTCCGTTCAACCTCGTGGTGCTCAACCACCTGGGCCACCTCATGAAGCATGGGGTGCACAGATGTGTCCACTGGCTGGAGGACAGCTGGCAGATGAGGGGAGTGGTCGGGGACTGGGAAGAGTCATTTCCAGAAGGAGGAACTGTGGTGGAAATGGGGTGCAGGACTAGGAGGGATGAGATGGGGAAAATGAGGGGATTGGTAGGATTAGGGGAACAAAGTCCAGAATGGGGTTTTTGATTGTTAAGAAACCCATCATGGGGGTGAGAGTGATAATAGGCATCAAAGCCGCCAAAGGCTCTTGGCAGGAAATGTGGGAAAACACAAAACTGGAGAGGTGGGGAAAGGGCACCCCCTTCTCGATCCTCCACCCAGAGCCACAGGCCAGTGTTGTGCTCTGCAGGACCCCTCGAGGGCACGGTGGCTCACAGGCTCTGCTGAGCTGCTCCTGGGTCTTCTGCTCTTCCTGTTGCTGCCTGTGCTTCTCTTCTCCCACATGGAGGGCTGGAGCTGTGTGGAGAGCTTCTACTTCATTTTCATCACACTTAGCACTGTGGACTTTGGGAACTACATGATCGGTGAGAGGCTTGGGCCTGGCAGGGTTGGAACTCAGCTGCCTACAGCTTCCAGGCCTTGGTATCCACCTCAGGTGTCTGGTTGGTATCCCATGGGGGTGACTTGGTGAACTTGGCACACAGCCTGCCACCTAAGCAGGCTCTACCCTTTCCCAGGATGGTGGACTAACATCCATCCCTCTGTGGGCCAGCATAGAGTTGTCCTCCAAGGCTAAGAGCTTACCTGTCGCCCTAGAGGGACATGATGCCCAGTCTAGGCCCAACTGATCTCTTCCCACATGGAGGGGTGCATCCCATTCCTCAGCTCCAGGCGAGGACCCAGGAAAACCTCAGCCTCTCCTGGGCCTGGAGGAAACAAGAGCCAGGGTATGAGTCTGTCAAGAAAGCCGGTGGCTAATTGTAGCTAGCCCTAGCATCTCTCTCCCCTGCTGGTTCTGAAGATCCCTTAAGAGTGAAGGTCACAGCCTCCTCCACCACCAGGCTGGCACTGGGGATGCCACATCCTCCAGACCCTGGAGTGAAGAGGGAGTCTGTCATGAGAATTTTCTCCTGGGGCTAGCAGCAGGGAGACAGGGTTAGGCAACACCTATCCCCCTTTTTACTAAGGTTCCAAAGACAAAGCAAAGTTTGACTTCTTCAAAATCGCCCCTGGGAATTGTGCATCTATTGGTCTTACTTGCAGAACATCGGTGAGGGGTTACAGTCAGGAAGGAGTATGGGTGATCTCAAAGCACTGTACTGGAAGGTTTTTCACTTATTATGAATGATTACTCCCCATGACTACATAGACTGAGCCCGTCTCCTAGTCCTTCCTAACCTATATACCACGCACCGCGCACCGCGCACATCGCACCGCGCACCGCGCACCGCGCACCGCGCACCGCGCACCTCGCACCTCGCACCTCGCACCTCGCACCGCGCACCGCGCACATCGCACCGCGCACGCACACACACACACACACACACCACACACTCAGATGAGAGCCCGGCGAGTCTCCTCACCCCCATCTTCTATGAGGGAGTATCAGCAATCCACAGCTCAGCTGTGGTGATCTCTGGCAAGTGGTCCAGCGGAAACGATGAAGATATCAGCAGTTTGACTTGGATGGTTGTCCTGTACAACAGGGCCCTCCCTGTGATTTTTCAGTGGACAGTTGAGGCTCTGTCAGGATGGCAAGCCACTCGCTTAACCTACAACCCAGAGTGAGTGTGTCATCCCATTTTCACAAGGAGAAAGCTGAATTCAGAGAGCTAACCGTATCTTCCTGAAATAGCACAGTGATATACAAACTTCTAGCCTGTTTTATTCCAAGACTTAAGCTGTTTCTGGGACCCTCTCTGCACCTCAGGATCCCTAACTGAAAGGATCTAGCTTGGGGCTTGCTGAGAACCCACCACTGCCTTCTGGCCTCAGGGTTCAAGGTCCCCTGCCTCAGGCCTTTCCTCCCCTGAAAGGAGGGTCCCATAATGGATGATCTGTATCCCAGATGCTAGTGGCCCAGAAAGAATTGACTTGGATAGATTTCTTCCAACTGGGTCAGGTGCTCACATCCACCCTCATGGTGGGAGCATGTGTCTGAGGAGAGCTGCAGCCAGCATGGAGGACCAGGCTTGCCCCCTCCAGCCTTCCAATTCAGGAGACACTCCTGGAGGCTGTTCTTGGATTTATTTATATTTATTTATTTATTTATTTATTTATTTATTTATTTATTTAGGTTTTTCGAGACAGGGTTTCTCTGTATAGCCCTGGCTGTCCTGGAACTCACTCTGTAGACCAGGCTGGCCTCGAACTCAGAAATCTGCCTGCCTCTGCCTCCCAAGTGCTGGGATTAAAGGCATGAGCCACCACTGCCCGGCTTGTTCCTGGATTTAGAAACCACCTTACATCCTGGCTTCCAGGCTCTTTCAATTCTCCAGTTTCTCTTTCCCTGGTTTTTGATCCTTCTCTCTGGATCTTAGCATCCACAGTTCCCTCAGCTCCCACAGTTGCTCTGGGAATGTGATCTTTCCCATCATCCTTGACTCTTGGCTCAGACATCCTTCTCAGAGAACAGCCTGTCACACTCTTGAAGCCTGAGTGTCTTTGCTCTGTCTTCTTCCTTGTGACAAAAGAACCCTTTCCCATGACTATCTCTGGGATCATATATGCTAAAAAAAAAAAAAACAGACAGACAAACAAACAAACAAAACTCACTGGGTGCTGCACACTCCCAAGATCTGGAGCTGCTCATGGAGTACTTACCCATGATGCCCTGACGTACTGGATCAGAAATGAAGCAGAAGGGATTGCCCTGAGACTTAACCGACTCCTGTGACAGTCCCACTCTGTAACATGTTTCCTTTTTCTCTATATGCTTCTGGGAGCTTGACCCACCTCCTTCAACAAATTGAGATCCTGTGCGAGGCAGGGATCTGCCTCTTAGGTTCCCACAGCCTTTCCTGTCTTGACCATCCTCCACCCCATCTTATCCTGCTGGCCCTGCATCAGACCTGGCCTGTGTCCCTGGCCCTGGCTGGCCCCCTAGCTTAAACTGATAGGGTTATGTGGCTAGCTGATTCCTCTGCGGTACCAAATGTGATCAGCAGAACTAGCGCTGAACCCAGGCAGCAGCTCCAGCTCCTGGCCACAGGAGCGGGGGAGGTGCTTTCTTCCCTTGATTTCATTTTTTGGCAGGAGGGTTGGCAGCTGGCAAGGCTGCCACTGAGCAGCTAAAGCAATTGCAGACCACAGGAGGGACTGGTGGCTGGGGTCTAGGGTGACCCTGGCTCTTGGCTTCAGACATGGACAATGATGCTCCATGACTCTGTGTGTGTGTGGTGTGTGTGTGTGTGTGTGTGTGTGTGTGTGTGTGTGTGTGTGTGTGTAGGATCAGCATTCCCACCCCAAAAAGAGGTTAGTCCATTTCTAAAAAAACAAGAAAGCTGAGGTTTGGGAAAGAGGTGTGGAAATTTTCAGAACACTTACGATTTGGGGATCCACCCTAGATTTGCCCTGACTTGCCTGATGGGGCCTTACTCTGCCATTCTCCAGGCCTCAGTTTCTCCATGTACATAAGCAAGAGCCCTCTCAGACAAGGCAGGGTGGGGCTCTCTGTAGTGTCCTCTGCAGCAATGCTGGGCAGATGAAGAGAACCATGGTGGGCCTCACTGCTTTCCCAGCAGACCCTCTGGCATCCAGAACTTCAGACTAGGCTTAGGACAGGGAGCTATGGTGCAGGAGACTGAGCAGTTGTCCCACTTTCCACAGAATGGCTTCCTGAGCAGAGGTGGCTTTGTTGCCTTTGTCACTCCTATGGTCACAGGCGACAGCACCATGTCTCATGCTGATGTCTACAGAATACTGCCTAATTGAGAAATATTCTCTCTCTCTCTCTCTCTCTCTCTCTCTCTCTCTCTCTCTCTCTCT